GCAATGATGAGAGTCCAAACGAACTCTTCGGAAGTATGAACCACTTTGTGGAGCTCCCTATAAAACCTGTCTATATAAGATTGGAGGGATTCATCCCTCTCTTGCCGTATATTACTCAGGTGGCTTAGCAGCATTGAGAACTTCCTATTCACCTGGAAGTGCCTCAGAAATGTCAAGCTCATTTGAGACCATGAGCCGACTGATCCTGCTAGAAGCAACCTGAACCAGTGCTTGGCATGGGTGGTTAGGGTTACTGCCAAGCAATGACATTTTGCCAAGTTAGAGACTTGGTGGAGTTCCACGAGGTCATTCAGCTCGTATAAATAATCCTACGGATCAGAATTCCCATCAAATGCTCGTATGTCGGGCATTTTGAATCTCGATGGGAGAGGAGCAGCTAACACTGCCAAAGAAAAGGGGGACGCCTCTATGACCTGCCCCTGCTCATTCTGTTGAGCCTTGAGCTGATCCAGAGCTCGCTGTAGTTCCTCAATCTGAGGCAACGGAGCTATCTGAGGATCACTTTCCACAATGTGGGTTCGACCCTCATAGTTGTGCTTGAGGAAAGACAACAAATCAGACTATTCCTCACCTTGGTAGAAGCTCTGACCAATCTCGACACATACTGGCTGGAGCTATGTGATGGCATTGAGTGATTCGGGGAGTCTTTTCGACCTCTACGGTGGTACAAACCGACCCACGGACAATGGGAATCCCCTGCACGACGACGATCGAAGTCGTCATTTTGGTGATATTGGGAATCTCCCAGCCTTGCACTTTTATGGGAGTGCTTCTGTGACGTGGCACGTGACGGCTCATGCTCCGACATGTCACCGAGTAGCAATGTCACGGGTATTCTACCCAGGGCACGATCGGTGTTCGTTGGTCCCTCGGAGCCCTTTGGTCCGTTTTGCGCTGCTTGCTTTCCCTTTCTTTGATGTGCTGCAATGCGCGTGACATGGGCTTTCACCCTTTTCCGCGCTTTCAAGTGACCTGTAGGCGTTTTTGGCAGTGGCACCGCCTCATTGGATTTAGGTGGCATGACCCGATCCAATCGATTTAGCCTTTGGCTGACCGTTTGGAGAGTATTATTGAACCTCTCCAAATAACTCATGACGGCTGGATCGAGCTGTGAGCTTGAAGGAATATCCCCCATGATATTCTGCTGGACTGGCGGCACTTCGGGAGAAGTGTCCTTTTGTACCTAGGGGATCTCTTCATTACCGTAATTGGTTCGCTCAGATTCGAAATGATGATCCATTTGCTGTGGTGGGACCGATTAGTCAGAAGAGCAGGTACTAAATCAGGCCCTCCTTCTAGCGCCAAACTGTTGATGCTTGATTTTGACACCAACTACCCGCACGTATAAAATGCTAAGCGGACTTAAAAGTCACACGTGATATGGGGTTATTAAATTAAATAATGGGTGAGAAGCAATATTTAAAGTGGTTTGGATGCTCAAAAGCGAATCCTACGTCCACTGCTATTGTATTAATAAGAGAGTAAGGTCAGGTGGCTTTCAGCAAGCTGAGTTACAGTTCAGAGAGAATACAAAAGAGAGAGAGGAGAGAGAGAGAGAGAGAGAGAGAGAGTAAGCTATTTTAGACCAAAATTAGCTAATCTCGCAAATGAGAGGGAAGGCCACTATTTATAGTGGGAGAGTTCAAGATAATGATTACAAAATCTGCAAGTGGGTGGGTGCCGTGCAAATCCTTCTTTGTGTCTCATTGGTCACCTGCTCAAGGGATTTCCTTGACTTGTGCAGGGTTTGGACACGTGGGCAATCTCCAACCGCTTGCTAGCCTAGCACTCACCTACTACGCTGACAGGAGCCATGCCACTTGCGCCATTGCGCGACGTGGCTGCACTAGGACATCATAAAAGCTTCTTGAGCTCTGGCTGTCCCTTGTTGATGAGGCTCCACATCAGCCCTACCTTTTTAGGCATAACAAACATGTTGGGCAATTAAAGCTCTTTCACTTTCATAGGAAATGTGGATTGCTGTTATCCCTTTTAGAGTAATCTACTGTTAAAGCCTGTTGTATCACGATAGAACTTTGCGACTCTAAATCCAAGTAATACAATTGCCCCTGTCTAATACCAAAACAAATCGTTTGCTTTGTTTGAATACTTTTAAACTCACAAAATTCAGTCAAAAAAATCACCACACAAGATAAGCTTTTGGTTATCTTGGAGACTAACAAGAAGTTTTAATTTAGGGATATGACAACTAAGACATAATCTAAGTGTAAAGAGTTTTTTAGAGTTAACAAACCTTCCTTAATGACCCAGTTAGATAGAAACAAAGTTTTGTGAGGATGACTTAAGGTTAGAAACATGCCTAGAATCAAATGATATATGATCGGTAGCACCAGAATCAATTTTCCATGCACTATTAGAAACAAATGTACACATATTTAAAGACTTATCATCATTTCCAATAGTAGCTATAAATGATGAGGATTGCTGGGCATCTGCTTTCTTTTCCACAACAACATCAGTAGAACTTTTCCTTTTGTCGTTGTTGAGCATGCCGGGTTTAGTCGCCTCTGAGTAACTTGCTTCCAAATTTGGAACTGGGTTTCATAGAATTTCTCCACATATCCCACACATTCTCCACGCTCAAGTGCCAAAGCAGAATTTAGAGGAATGACACTTGGGATTTGTGTAGCTTCGTGGCTAAGATTTCTCCTACAAGATTTAAGCTATCAACCTAATCAACCAATCCAGTTATATTCTGATAATAAAGTAGCATGTGATATTGCTCACAATCCAATTAAACATGATCGTATGAAGCATATTGAGGTAGATAGATTTTTCATCAAAGAAAAACTGGATGAAAAGATTATTGAATTACCCAAGATTCGATCAGAGGATCAGTTGGCCAATATTCTTACCAAGGTTGTCTCCAAACGTATTTCCTCAGAAGTGTCAGACAAGTTGGGCATGTGTGACATCTACGCACCAACTATGTACCAACTTGAGAGGGAATGTTGAGATTTACTTAATATTTCATGAATATATTGTAATCTCCTAATTATGTTAGTCTTAAGATATTCATAATGTATTTGATATCCTATAATCTCTTAATTATGTCTGTATATTGTATTGACATAATTAAGAGATTATGTAGACTGTATTCTACCTATAAAAACCTGTAATCATGAGTGTAAATATAAAATTAAGACCTACAATTCTTCATTCAAACTAACAGATGCATTTTAACCTCATAAACCACACACGGTTTAACTATTTGTAAGAAAAAAAAAAAGATGCGAATTCAGAATCATCTGTTTCATCTCTAGACCTGTGGCGCATTTAATAACCGAAAAGTTCAACTCATGCAAGTCCATCGGTGCAGTTAGATGTTCTATTCTGCAAGGACTCGGTTTTGAATGCAGTGTGAGAGAACAACTTGGAAGCCTGATGGAATTGATAGTTACCAGTTTTTATGTATGTATTAGTTCCAAGATGTTCAGCAATATACAATCACCTTAATCCACTTGTTGAAAACACAAAATTTCTTCCCCCCCTCAAACATGAGATTAATTGGAGGGTAATATTACAGAAACATTGTAATAGTATGAATCAAAGACAGCATCTGCTATCAGAAAAACAGTAGCTGTAGGAGCTAAGAGTTTAGATAGAAAACTTGCACCACTGAGGCTGACAGTTAACAAACAATTTAAATTTTGGGCTACCCACATGAAAAATGAGATGTCGTAGGATTCGTTCTGTTACCATCCAGTGTTAACTTATCCTGACTTCTGTTAGTTGGCGATGGTTGACTCCGTCAACTGATGAATTTTGGATTTTGACATCGATAATCGATTCAGACTATTCAAATCCATGGGCAAACAAAAGTAAGCAAGGATTTATTACTTAGTATACATATTGAGGACAGTTGGCCAGTTCGAGCTGTTTCACTTTCATAGGAGAAATGGACTGCTATTATCTTTAACCACAATGAGGACAAAAAGCATAAGCCAATCTGTCAAAAGTTTCAAAAATGTTTCTTATGTATTATTTTTTGTTCTTTATTTTTGGAGCTTCTGCTAAACTAGATACCAAAACACCAAATCAGTCCATCAAAGATGGTGAGACTCTAGTTTCCGCCAGTGGAATCTTTGAACTGGGATTTTTCAGCCCAGGTAACTCAGCAAAGCGTTACNAATTAAGACCTACAATTCTTCATTCAAACTAACAGATGCATTTTAACCTCATAAACCACACACGGTTTAACTATTTGTAAGAAAAAAAAAGATGCGAATTCAGAATCATCTGTTTCATCTCTAGTCCTGTGGCGCATTTAATAACCGAAAAGTTCAACTCATGCAAGTCCATCGGTGCAGTTAGATGTTCTATTCTGCAAGGACTCGGTTTTGAATGCACTGTGAGAGAACAACTTGGAAGCCTGATGGAATTGATAGTTACCAGTTTTTATGTATGTATTAGTTCCAAGATGTTCAGCAATATACAATCACCTTAATCCACTTGTTGAAAACACAAAATTTCTTCCCCCCCTCAAACATGAGATTAATTGGAGGGTAATATTACAGAAACATTGTAATAGTATGAATCAAAGACAGCATCTGCTATCAGAAAAACAGTAGCTGTAGGAGCTAAGAGTTTAGATAGAAAACTTGCACCACTGAGGCTGACAGTTAACAAACAATTTAAATTTTGGGCTACCCACATGAAAAATGAGATGTCGTAGGATTCGTTCTGTTACCATCCAGTGTTAACTTATCCTGACTTCTGTTAGTTGGCGATGGTTGACTCCGTCAACTGATGAATTTTGGATTTTGACATCGATAATCGATTCAGACTATTCAAATCCATGGGCAAACAAAAGTAAGCAAGGATTTATTACTTAGTATACATATTGAGGACAGTTGGCCAGTTCGAGCTGTTTCACTTTCATAGGAGAAATGGACTGCTATTATCTTTAACCACAATGAGGACAAAAAGCATAAGCCAATCTGTCAAAAGTTTCAAAAATGTTTCTTGTGTATTATTTTTTGTTCTTTATTTTTGGAGCTTCTGCTAAACTAGATACCAAAACACCAAATCAGTCCATCAAAGATGGTGAGACTCTAGTTTCCGCCAGTGGAATCTTTGAACTGGGATTTTTCAGCCCAGGTAACTCAGCAAAGCGTTACTTGGGAATATGGTACAAGAAAGATACTGATAAAACAGTTGCATGGGTGGCCAACAGAGTAACTTCACTCTCTGATTTTTCAGGAATTCTAAATGTCATTGATCAAGGGAAGCTTATACTACTAGATGGAGAAGATAGAATGATTTGGTCAACCAATAGATCGAGATCACTGAAATATCCTGTTTTGCAGCTCTTAGGTTCAGGAAATCTTGTTGTGAAGGATAGAAACGATAACGATCCAGAGAACGTTTTGTGGCAGAGTTTTGATCATCCTTTTGACACCTTACTAACAGGGATGAAGCTCCGAAGGAACCTCAAAACTGGAATGGATAGGTTCCTTTCGTCCTGGAAAAGCACAGAAAATCCTGCTCCAGGCCAATTTTCTGTGGGCATTGATTTAAATGGATTTCCACAACTAGTTCTCAGGGAAGGAGCTGCCATCAAGAATAGAGCTGGCTCGTGGAATGGCATTGGTTTTACCGGGACTCCTGCGCTGAAACCAAACGATCCTGTATGTGATTTTCAATTTGAATTGAATGAGAATGAGGTCTATTATAAGTGTGACCCCAACTTTCCCTTACTTTCAAGGATATGGGTAAATCAATCAGGTACTGCTGAGCGCTTAATACAAAGCTCTCAAACAAAAAATTGGTGGCTTGCTTATGTTGTTCCGGTTGATCGGTGTGACAATTATTCTTTGTGTGGTGCAAATGCTCGATGTCAGACAAACAGCAGCCATGTATGTTCTTGCCTGGAAGGATTTGTACCAAAATCACCAGAAGGTTGGAGCTTGTCAAATTGGACTGAAGGGTGTGTCAGAAGGAGTCCATTTAATTGTAAAAATGGGAATGAATTTAAGGTTGATGCTGGGTTGAAGTTGCCGGACACTTCTAATTCCTCGTACAATACAAGCATGAGCCTTGAGGAATGTAAGGAAATGTGTTTGAGAAACTGTACTTGCACTACCTGTGCTAATTCTGATATCAGCAAAGGAAGTGGTTGCTTGCTTTTGTTTGGTGACCTGACGGATATGAGATTGAACAATGATGTTCAGCAAGATCTCTACATAAGGATGGCCACTTCAGAACCAGGTAATTTTGGAAGTATTTACTTTTGATTTTGAAAGAAAACTATATTTATCATATAAAGCATTTGATTAAGGCAGCTAAAAGCAGTAGATAATGTTGGTTATTTGAGCATGTAAATATGGTTATACGGGAGAGAAAAAAGAGAGAGAATAGCAAGAGAGAAGAAGGACTTGTATATTGCAGTCATATTACAGAAAAATACAGCAGAGTTTTTATATGCATACATACATACTGTTGTACCTAATCATAAGACATATTTTAGTCCAAAATAACTTCTTAACCATACATTCTTAGCAACTCTGATTACATTAAATTAATTTGATATAAAGTTGGCAACCAAATGCAAGCTGAATTCACCAAAATATATCACTTCAGCATGCCTACAGACCAGCTACGTGAACTGCTCCAGACCAGCCTCCAGACTTCAAATTCTGCCCTTTTACAGCCAGTTCACAGCTTCCAGCATAATCAAAATATTTGTTTCAAGCAAAATATCACTATTTTGAACAGATAATGAAACAACCTAGGGATACTGCTCAAGCGCTTGGATACATCCGCTAACTTTGCTTTTGATTTTCAGATCAATCGGATAGAAGCAGAGAGGTGGGAATCATAGTTGGCTCTGTAGGATTTATGGCAATCCTTATGGTGGGATTGATATTGTTTATCAGAACGAAGAAGCTCAAAAAGCAAGGTAAACTCATTACCTGTCTAATTAAACAATAACAGGCATCATCAGGAATTTGTTAACTTAATCCCTTAATTTTCCTCTGCTAAAAAGAAAAGTTTCATATAATTTTAGGAATTTTGAAGAGCAACTACAAAAAATATAATAATGGAGCTGGGAAAGAAAATATGGAGTTATGGGTATTTGATATTGCCAGTATAGCAAAAGCCACAGACAACTTCTCAAGCAATAACAAGCTGGGACAAGGTGGTTTTGGACCAGTATACAAGGTAACCTTACAACATTCTTCCAGAATACAAGATTTGTATTCTGCTTATACATCAACTAATTTTGAGTGATGATTCCAGGGTACATTGCTGGGGGGAAAGAGATTGCAGTTAAAAGGCTGTCAAAAAGTTCAGGCCAAGGAATCGAAGAGTTCAAAAACGAAGTTACATTGATTGCAAAACTTCAACACAGAAATCTTGTAAAGCTTCTCGGTTGTTGCATCCAGGAAGACGAAAACATGTTAATCTATGAATACATGCCTAACAAAAGCTTGGACTTCTTTATCTTTGGTTTGAATCTAAAAACTCATCTTTATTTTGATTTGTGATCAATTAAAGATGTATCATTTTACTGACCTGGTATGAGGTGTTGACCAATCAAACAAGAAAGCAAATTACTTATTGGTCGAAGCGCACCCACATTATCAGTGGAATTGCTAGAGGAATGCTCTATCTTCATCAAGACTCTAGAATGAGGATTATACATAGGGACCTCAAAGCCAGCAATGTGTTATTAGATAACGATATGAACCCCAAAATTTCTGACTTTGGCATACCAGAATATTTGGGGGACAGGAAATTGAGGCCAATACAAATAAGTAGTTGGAACTAGTAGGTAACTAATATTGTTTTCTGCTTTGCTCACTTCCACTTGAGACCTCTGCCAATGTCATTTTGCAGTGGTTAATGTCTCCGGAGTATGCATTTGACGGTGTTTTCTCGATGAATCTGACATATTTAGCTTTGGAGTTTTAGTACTAGAGATTGTTAGTGGGAAGAAAACAGAGGATTTTCCCATCCGATCACTACCATAATCTTCTTGGACATGTAGAGTAGAACACAACGATTTATTTAACTATTTGGAAACAAATATTTCTCTGTACTTCAATTTTTTTCAGGCATGGATACTTTGGAAAGAGGAAAGGCGATTGGAACTAACTGGTGAAACATTAATTGACTCTCTTTGCCACCTGAGGTGTTGAGATGAATTCATGTGGGTTTGTTATGCGTAACAACGGCCAGAAGACAGGCCGAGCATGTCGTCAGTGGTTCTAATGTTGGGAAGTGAGTGTTCATTGCCTGACCCAAAGCAACCTGGGTTTTTTTCAAAAGAAATCTATTTGAACCTGAGTCTTCATCAGGCAACTTTTCCATTTTGGAGGCAAGGTAAACATCACCAATTGGCATAAAAAATTATCTCAACAGCCCTAGATATCCAACAATCTGTTTAATGGTTAGTAACAAGTCGTTGTTAAAATTGTTTGTTTGTGATGCAAGGGTATGATTCTTGTCAGTGCAATAGGTGAGTGTCAGGCTTGCGAATGGTTAGGGATTATCCACCTGTCTAAGCCCTACGCAATTTGAGGATATTTCTCGTGCAGATAACCAATGGGACGCAAAGAGGGATTTTGTTGCGAACCTACCCGATTTCTCAGTCATTCACACATACAATAGCTCATACCGAAACAAACAGCGTTTATATCAACCTCTAGAGTTCCAAATAACAGAAGAGAGGTATTCATTGATAACTCAGTTTACACCACTCTAGATCGTCTCTCAAATAAAAGACATACTGGATTTAATTAACTACAATGAAAATAGAGAAACCAAGACTAGAACATAATAAACCGATATGCTGGACTTCGAGGGCCAGCTACCTCCCCTTTCTTTTCATCAAACAGTTCATCAATGGCCGGAATGGGGAATCGGTCGAGATGGTCAATTTATTGAGTGCCCTATAGTCTACACAAAACCTCCAACCACCATCTTTTTCTTAACCAACAACACTGGCTGGAAAAAGGATTGATACTAGGCTTAATAATTCCTGAGGCTAACATCTCCCCAATGATTTTCTCAATTCGTTTTTCTGGTAAAACGGATATCTAAAGGCCTAAAGTTTGGGGGTTGGGCTCTGGTAGTAACCTAATTGCATGGTCTTGGGGTCTGCTAGGGCAAATCCGATAGAGGCTCAAATACGGATCTGAAAGTTTCTAACACGGAAACAGTCTCTACTGACATTGATCTCTTCGTCTGACTGTTTTTGCAGCTGCCCAATTCAACCATGTATCTTTCCCTCACTTCTCAACGTTCGGATCATGGCTTTCAAGGAAACCATTGTTTTGCTAAGTGCAGGATCCCCTACAATTGTCACCGTTTCCTCACCCAATTTAATTTCATCACCTGCTGCCTCCAATTCATTGTAGTTTCCCCTAATGTTTCAAGCCAAGCCATGCCTAACACTACATCTGCACTACTCATTTCAAAGGGAAAAAAATCTTGAGTTATTTGTACCCTCGGGACTGCCAAACATACTGCCTTACACTCTCCCTCACATCGGACTTTATATCCATCCACCACTCTCACTCCAAATGCCTGTGTTCTTTCTACAGCAATACGCAGCTTCTCAACCAACTCTCAGCTAATGAAATTGTGGGAAGCCCCACTGTCAATCAAGATAATAACCTCCTGGCCCATAATACTGCCCTTCACTTCATCGTTTTGGGCCATTGATTCCCCCAACCGAGCTAAGGGAAAGTTCAACATTACCTTGGGTTTGTTCTGCCGTCGTTCCTTCACTGGTTTCCATGTCCCCTGGATCCAAATCTTCTTCTTCCTCATCAACAAGGATTACTTGAAATTGCTTCTCACCACACTTATGGCCAAAGAATACTTCCCATCACACTTGAAACACAACCCTTTCTCTCTTTTCTTCTGTATTTTGGCCTCCGTCATTTTTCGAAAGGGAAATTCATGTCGCGATGGATGGTTTCTGTCGAAGGATCTGAAGTTTGTAGAGGTGTTTCGCAAGGAAGGAATTCATGGATGAACCCACGACAGTACCCTCTGCGTTTCTTCGCCCAAATTTGAGAAATTGGAGAATGAATTTGAGAAATAATTTGAGAAGGAGTTTGATTTTAGGGATTCAGTCAATTTGGGCTTTAAATGAATCTCCGGGTCGGGTGGTGGATATCGGGTTAAAACTCCTAGATCCAAAATTGTTTGACCCGACATTTAATCTAGGCCCTTCCACCTATTGGCTCTTGCTGGACCTGTCTTAAGTTCTTCTAAAGCCCAGTTACGTTCCTCTACTCTGTGGTGCCTTTCTATTGTTTGGAGAAGAGAATGGGCTGGATCAACCTCAGCTCAGCCCGATTTCTGCCTTTAACCCATTCAGAAACGCAGCGTTCAGGATCTCTTCCTTCTCTTCCACTACACAAGCAGCTACAGCTTCGAATCTTCTTCTGTAATTAGTGACTGTACTGTTTTGCTTCAGGGCCATTGAGTTTCATAAGGGTTACTCTCTTGAGATCCGCTAATCTCTGAATTAAGCAAGTTTAAACGATGGCCGCGAGGTTACAGGTGCTCTGACTTCCATCCATTGATACCAGTTAATGGCTTCCCCTTCCGCACACTGTCGCAGCTGTTAGTTTACCATCATCATGGAATTCCATTCAAAGAAAAATACCTTTCAATTCTAAAGATCCACCCGTAAGGATCTCACCCATGAAAAGGGTAATTCAGTTTTCTTCCTCCCAACTCACTTTGACTTTGTCCCAAACTCCCTGATCCACTTACTCGTTTTGATTCTCCTCTTCCTGATTCTCACGTTTCTAGATGATTTTGTTCCCCACGCCCAGCTTCTTCTTCATCCTTTCTTCTCATCCAACTCTGTATCTCTACCATGCATTCACGAATTGTCCCCATATCCACGCCCAATTTCGTTACCTCCCATTCCACATTTTCAACCTAGATCTATTCTTGTTGCTACCATAACCCACACACACACACCTGCTCTGATACCAAATTGTTGCGAACCTACCCAGATTTCTCAGTCATTCACACATACAATACTCATAACTGAAACAAACCAGTTTATAGCAACCTCTAAAGTTCCAAAATAACAGAAGAGAGTTATTTCATTGATAACTCAGTTTACACCACTCTGATCGTCTCTCTAATAAAGAACTACTGGATTTAATTAACTACAATGAAAATAAGAGAAACCAAGACTAGAACATAATAGAAACCGATATGCTAGACTTCGAGGCTAGCTACCTCCCCTTTTCCTCACTTC